TCCCCGCTACACACGGGCCGCGGATGGAGCGGTGAAACCCCTGCTGAATTTCATTCTTCTGGTGCTTTTCCTAAATGGCGTTAGTCTGTCAGGACGTGGTGGTTATCGGGCACCCTTAAACCGAAGGACTTGTGCCGTTCAGCTTCATTTTATCAGGCACCTCTTTAAAAGGGGATTGAAGTGACAGCATGCTGGTTTTCTCAGAACAGATGTCAGAAACGTGACTTATCTAACGGGACCACCTGGACCTGTGGCCACCAGAAACTTCAGCAAATTATTACTAAGCTATAGTTATTTGCTTGTTTATTTGATGATAAATTGGAGCCAATGGCTAGGAAGTGATCTAATAATACCAAAACATGAGGATACAGTGTGCCTCCCCCAGCTCTAAATTTCTGTTTTAGCTCCATGGTGAGGAGTAAGGTGTTGGCCCTTCTGATGGAGGGGCCTCTTAGCATAGGCAGTGGTCAGTGCCAAATCAAGTGGCCAAGTTAATGTTGCCAAATGGCATTTCTCGCCTTTCCAGGACATTGCATTTGGGGTAAGTCCTGCCTCTCGGCCAGATGGAAGGTGTGCATCCATTCAGTTTGCACTGTGCTCTCTGAGAGGAGCTATAATGGGCACCTGCTGGCATATTGCCTTTGGACCCTGGCTGTAGGAACTGCCCCTGCTGAATAGGCCAGGGCTGAGCTACAGAACCCTGTCAGCTCTCAGTGAATGCAATTACAGCACTAATGGCACTGGGAGTTTGTCTTATCTAGGGCTGCATCCATGGTGTGCCTTGCTGCAGATAATCTCAACAAAAAACATTCTTCTCTGCCCCTGCCAAGGGCTGAACTTCAGAACCTTTTAGATCATCAGTGACTGGAATTATAGCACTAAGGGTGCTGTAAGTTTGTCTTATCTGCAGGCTGTTTCCATGGCATGTCTTGCTGCTGATAATCTCCACAGAAAAGTAATTCTTGCCCCATTGCAATAAAATGTAGGTGGAGGTGCATTGGGTTCTGGGAGGTGTGTGTGTTCCCTGTTCATGCATCATAGCATGAGGTGGGATCAGACAAAAAAAGCCTCAGTCAGGGAGAGCTTCACCTTTGGCACATCAGTCTTACTGCAGTGAGGTCAAACAGCACAGGTGATCATCTGTATTTTGGGTGCCACTGCAATGGGTTAGGTAAAGCTTGCTCCACTGCATCTCATGGGCAAGACCAAGACTTTTTTGCAGAGGCACCACCATGGTTGATGTTCTCATCTTGGAAACTGTTTTATATTGAAGTGAAGACAAAGCTGTTCTGGTACTCACAGCTCTCATTTTATAACTCAATTTTCCCTTCTATTCCCACTTACAAACAGACAGAGGACTTGAAGGTATCCAAAGTACTTTGAACTTTTACTTTTTTTAGTAAAAGTACACAGTAAAATTTCTCCTGAATAACCTTCCTTTCCCGCTTTGTTCCCTGTGACTGCCTTGCAGAGAAAGGCCTCTCAGAGCCTCTCTGCCTGCATGTGTAGACATTAGGCTGTTGTGCATTGTGAGTGCCCTTTTGTTGAATGCTGTGTGCAGTAGTGCTTCCCAGATAAATCATGTGTAGTGAGTAAAGTAATGACTTTGGGTTGTAGCTTCATTCCCTAGGCAGGCAGAGAGAGACAGCACCTGGTGGGATGTGGCACCTATAGAGCCCCCTGCAGCTGCCTGAGTGTGGTGCCTGCAAAATGCTGGGGGTCCCCAAACAGTGGTGGGGTTCTGTAGCTAAAGGGGCTGGTGGCCCTCAGAGTGACTTGCTCATTTCAGAGTGGCAGCAAGCTTTGCATCCACAGCCAGGGAGAAATGTTTGTGAGATATTTCAGGGTTTTATTTTCAGCAGAGTTCTGTTAATTTGCTTTTTCGTATATTAAAACAGTCCTATTCCCTGTCTGTGCTGAAAAACTCCCAGGAAGCCTACAACAAACCCATGGCCAGCATCCATCTGTTGGTATGATCTGCAGGTGGTGGTGATCTGTGCTTCTTGTAGACCAGAGGGAAGGAAGGTTATGGATTTTACCTCTTTGTGGTGAATGCTGAAACATGGTTCTGGTTTTCAGGCCTGCCCCAGTGTCAGTGACAGAATAATTCAGTACGTGTTCTAGAATGCAGAGAATGAGGGAACTTTGGATGTCAGTTTATATTCAACTCTTCAAATAATATGTATAACCCAATAGTGTACAGATTCTGCTTCCAGGAGTCTTTGCCTCATCTTTCTACCTTGTAGATTGTCTGCTTATCCAAGGCAAAATGCAGTTTTTTGAGGAGCATGTGTTCTAAAATCCATTTTAATGTTTAACCTATTTTATTTTAATGTGATTGTTAACAATTCCCATGTGCCACTGAAGTACTGGGTGCTCTTTGCAGAGTGGTTTCCAGCACATGCAAAAGGGTACAGGGAGGGCTAACACAAGCTCCCCTTGTGTTGTGGTAGTCTGCACATGTGTGGCAATATTTTTCTAGTTTTGAAAAGTGTATAAAATCCAACTTTAGGCAAGAAGCATGGCTTGAGAGCTATTTAATGCAAATTTTAAAAGCAAATCTTTGGCATAGCAAACTGTTGAAACAACTATTCTAAGTCTGGTGGTCGTTTTAAAGTAAATATCTTGGTCTCTAAAAACTTTGTTTAGTTTCCAGGACTGCACAACAGAGCCATTCACAGATAATGGTTTTTGAGGAGTGAAAAACACAATTGCTGTTACAACTGCAAACTCTCTTTGGGATGCAGAGCTCCAGGCTCATTTTTCTGTTTTCTCACATTTTCTCAGTTGAAAATAGAACCTATTTTGGATACAGTTGACATTTTTTCTATTCTTCTAAGCAAAATAAATTACTGTCTGAAATGCTAGAAATGAATCCTAGGAGAAAAATTCTTTTCCAGAAGTGGGTTTTTGGTTTTCTGTTGAACCTAATGGTGCAACACAGGACAATTTCAGAGGGATGCAGTTACTTTTCTCCATTTTTGCCTACATCTATGTCTTGAGCATCCTCAGATACTCAAGCTGCAGTTCTTCAGAAATACTGGTGACTGGAGAGTCATAAGGCTGTTTCATGAGGGCATTTTGGAGGGGTTTTTGTGCAGGCTTGATGGAGGTGTTGCCTGGCTGAGGTGAAATTCTGTACTGTAATTATGAGTGATACAAATACACCTGATAGCTTGGAGTGCTCTAGGGATGCTACTTCTTGTAGTAAAGACATACTCAGTCTGTGCCACTAGTGTAGATGTGCATCCACAGGACATTTATTTCTGCTCTAGTAGTGGGAAATGCATGAAATGTGCTACTCCTTTCAAGTCTTGGCATTGTTGGAAAACAATTTATGAATTATTTAAAAAGGGAGTGTCTGTGTAATCTCTTTTAGTTAATGATGGGGTTTTTGGGGGTGGAAGTTTTAATGTCAAATCCCAGTACTGTGTTGGCCTTGGGCAGAGCTACACCCAGGAAATTATTCAGTGGGTAGAAATAAAAGGAATGCAAGCAAACCTCTGCTAAGGGTTATATGTAGGAACTGATAATTCTGATAATTTTGTCTCTACTATGTGTGCAGTGGAAACAGTGCAGCTTTTCAATAGGCTGTCCTTGATGGTGAAATCACTATTTCTGGGGGGGAAAAAAGGCAAAAAGAAAGCTGTACCTGTTAAAACTAAGCCCTGAAGGAAATGCTTCTCTTGTAGGCATACTGCAGCATCCAGATGGAACTGTGCTGAAGCAGCTGCAGCCACCACCCCGTGGGCCCAGGGAGCAGGAGTTCTACAGCAAGGTGAGGGTCCCTCAGTGTGGGGAGGGTGGAATGGGGGCTGTGCTGCCTGCAGAAGTAAATCCTTATCCTTGCACTTGGGAAAGTGCAGCCTGAATCCCCTGCCATGCTATCTGTGTCCTCTCTGGAACTTTCTGCTCTTGCATTTCAGACCTACTTCACTCACAGGGTTTAAGCTTGTTTGGTTGTTCATAGGACAGCAGACTTACACACCATCTAAGATTTTGCTGAAAAGCCTTATCTCCTGTCTGTGTTTAAAGGGTTGTATGTTTGATCCCAGCTTTCTCACATAGCTGAGTCTCTCATTGCTTACATCTAAATTTAGCATGTTTTATGCTTCTTCCTAACCTGGTTCACTGCTAGAAGTATTGCTCTGTTCACTGTATTAGAACTCAGCTCCTTTAAAAAGTCAATAAATATCAAACCTCTCAAGTTGTTTTAACTTTATTTGTTGCATTTTTCCTATTGCTTATCCTCAGTTTGGTTTATCAGTAACTTTAACAAGTGCACACCAGGAAAGCTGTTGCTTTCCTGTGACCAATTTGTAGAGCCTGCTCTGTGCTACCTGCCTGTGGCAGTCTGTCATGTGGTTTTTGTGTGTCAGGTTGATATGCCATGCCTCTCCATGGCTTATTAGGTACAAAAAGCTATTAAAATTTTCATGCTTGATGTAAGAGGAGTCTTGAGACCCTCTGCTGGTTGTGGTGTTTGGCCTGGATTTTGGTTGGTAGGTTTCTTTTTCCCTAAAAGGGTATTTATTTAAGTTACCAAAAGATCTTGCAGATTTCATGGAAATGTCTCACATAAACAAAGCAAAGTGCTTTAAGTGAACAGTGTGTTTGCATACTGGCAATATTTGATAATTCTCATGATAGGACAGGACAGTAATCTTGACCTATTAGGAGCCAGTTAAATGTAAATATTTTTCTGAGTTTGTCTGTGACTCCCATTGAGTTGAGGTTAAAAAATATGCCATCCAGCCTGACTGGTAACCTGAGTAGAAGGAGGAAGCTTGAACAAACTCCTTTAGGCACCAGGCTGCGTTCTGTGCTGTGAAATCCTCAGGCAAAGGCACTAACATGCTGTCCCTGCCTAGAGCCTGCAGGTGAGAGGGTTGAGTTCAGGCATTGCTTGCACATGAACTCTTCACATCAGAGACTTGATAATTTTGCCTGTTTAAGCTTAGACTCATGTGACAAGTTGTGAGCAACACCTGAGCAGAGTCTTGGAGAGGGGGTGTCTGTTTTAGCGTGCTTGTTATTGGCTGTGGAGAACCAGATATCAATGCTGGTAACTTGCAGAGTAAGCTTCTGTTCTGTCTCCTGAGGCTTTGCTGGGCTGCTTCAAACACTGATTTTTTTTTTAATTTTGATTATAAGCCATAAAATAACAGAGAAAAGCAAAGTTGTAGACATGGTTAGTTGTGTATGCATTAGGAGGCTTTTTAGTGGGAGGAGGGAAGGAGAGCACGTCCATGGGTGTTGTGGTGGTGAAATTACAGGAGAGAGGTTTTGGGGATTTGTTGCTCCTCAGTGATTACCTGCTGTCATGTTTACTCTCAGGCAGGAGCTGTGGGATGTGGGTTTAGACAGCTGAGCACTAGATAATATCATATAGAGTGATAATTGCTCTGGGTTGGGAGGTTCAGGGTAGGGTACAGTTCCACGTGCAGCTTGAGCTGGTCCAATAGCTCATTGTTGCCAAAAGGGAAATAAATGCCTTTCTTCCCATTCCTGCCATTTACCTTGTACCATGATGGTACTTTTTGGACCTTTATGAACTAATTTGACCTATTTAAAAGATGGCAAAACTTCCTTTTTTTTTTGGTAGTGTTCTGGCAGTTTAGGGGACTAAGCTGACAAGAAAAGGGAGCAACAGCAAGGCTGCCCTGCTTTGGTGGCTGAGTTCAGCCCGTCTTATGGGCTGTAATCAGAGATATTATCACCTTGGAGAAGGCTGATGAGCCTCCAGAGATGGAGGAGAGGATAATTTTAGTGCTCCTTGAGACAGGGAATTGTTTGAAATGAAACAAGTGAAATGAGCCCAATGAGTCCCAAGCTCTCCCTTTGTCAGAGCAAAACAGCAGGTTGGTTGGTAAGATCAAAGCAGGTGGTTGTCCAATAGCATATGTGGATTAATTGTGACTTTTTTTTAAATTTCTGCTCCTGTTTTTTCATATGTGCTTAGAACTGTTTTGTGTGTAGCTATGTGAGTTATTGCTCCCCTTTGCATCCCACCTTATTCTAGCATGAATGAAAATTAGTGCCCCAGTACCTGGGTGAGAAACAAGGAGGGAATCTTTCCCTCTGGACCAGCACACCTCCTCATGGGAAGTAACTGAGAAGCTCTGTGGTTTGTGGTAGCAGGAAGGGGAGCATGTCTCAGTTTCAGCTGATGAGTCAGCTGCAGAGCTGCTATGGCAGATCTGAAGCAGAAGTTCTTCCAAGAAGCAGGAAATGGTATTTCAGTGAGCAGCCCTAGCACTTGGCAGCTGCAGGGAATGTGTCGTGATAGATGATAATGAGGCATTAAGGGACAAGTTTGACTGGAACTCTGATATATTTAATGTGATACCAGGTGGATATTATCTTCTGTTTTGACCAAAAAATTCTCCTTTTCTGAAACTGTTGGATTTGCTTGCAGCCTGGTAAGTGAACGTGACAGAGGTAGAAGTCTGTCAGTGAATCAAATGTTTTTTCCCTTATTATTGATGGCTTATTTTCTGTTGAGCATGGTGCTAAATACTTACCAGTAGAGCCAAAACAAAATGGGATTCTGTTTTGGAATGGAAACTTGAGGAAGATATGTACTGCAAAGTACTGGTCAGTGATCCAAAACTTGCTCAGAAGCAGGTGGCAGCTGAAGTTTGGAGGAATTTCACAGGTCTCTATCAAATCCGGAAAATTGCTGAAGTAATTCCTACTCAGGCTGCTGTCAGGTTACCTTTCTGTTTTCTTCATTCAGTGTTTTACCTTTAGCAGTCAAAAATAGAGGTCTTTCTTTGTAAGAGATGATTTCACCAATTAAACTTTATCTACTAGAGCACTATGTCTCATTCTGTATTGCTAGGGAAGGGGCTTGCCCTGTGTTGAGGGAGGGGAAAGCCAGCATGATAAGATTATCATGAATACCTTCTATGATAAAACACAGTAAAACAATGAGCTGTTTGTTAATGGCTTAACTGGTTTGTTAATAGCTTACTGTGCACTGCTTAACTTCTCGTTGGAGTGTGACTTTCTAGCTGCAATGTCCATTTGCTGTTGAGGTCTGTAAATCTGAGTAATTATCTAATCAAAATAATAACCTTTTAATTTTGTTTCTGCTAACTCCCTTGCTGTACCTGAGGGCATGAACTCCTTAAAAGCATTGCCTGCACAGCCATGGAGTGTTTTGCTTGGTATTCTGGTACCCTTATCTGTGTGAGAAAAATACCAGTTTTTTTTTAACCTTGAATAGCTCCAAAATACTTTGTTTTCAATAGGTATGAGCAACAAGGGAATGAAACTAATTGAGGCATAAGGGTGGTGTTTATTTAAGGGCTATCTGCACTGCTGATCAGTTGTTTCTGTGTAATGGCAATGCTCTGTGTAGGTGGAGGTGCTCCAAAGGACTCCTTTTAAAGGGGTTTTGGGAGGCAGCAACATACAGGGATGTGGGAACAGGGAAATACTGTTGTTTGAAAATGTAGTCCTTGCAGTTAGAGAGACTAAATTGGTAAAAGGCAGTGTGAGTTCATGGTAGGCTGCCTATGCAAGCGTGCTGAGAAATGCACAGCAGTGGCCTGCTCCTCAGTGTGTTTTGGGATTTGGCTTCAGCCTGATTTATGCCAGGGCTCATTTATCCTTGCTGAAACGCTCTGATTTAGTTCAGCAGTGTTGATAGAAGGAGGAAACCTTTCAGCACTCCTGCAGTGATCTGTTGCACCAGGTGAGTTGAAAAATGGGAGGATAGTGTTGTTTGAAAAGGTTACTGTGTGAGGTAAGGCAGTGCTCAGCTGGGTGTGGGGCTCCTATCCCTGCCCTGCAGGCTGTGCCCCAGAGCACTCTGTGCTGGAACAGCTCTGCCTTTGCATTTCAGAGCTCTCCAGCACGGGGCTTTCCTCAGTTTGTCATGGCAGGAATGCAGCATTGCACAAACTGTTGTCCTGGAGGAGAGGGAGGATGCTGGAATGTCAACTCTTAAGCAGGACAGCTGCTTTTGTGGGCACTTAGAGGGTGATTGGGCTGCAAGGAGGGGATGCTGGGGATGGGTGAGACCCCATCTGCAGAGCTGCCTCCAGCTCTGGGGTCCCCAGCACAGCTCTTTGAGTGAGTCCAGAGGAGGCCTCCAAGGTGATGGGAAGGCTGGAGCACCTCTGCTGTGAGGAAAGGTTGGGAGAATTGGGGTTGTTCTGGAGAAGAAAAGGCTCTGAGGAGAGCTTAGAGCCTCTTCCAGTTCGACCAATAGAGCCTGGAGAGGGAATTTGGACAAGGCCCTTGAGGAACTGGACAAGGGGAGGGGTTAGATGGGACATTGTGAGGGAATCCTTCCCTGTGAGGGTGGGCAGGCCCTGGCACAGGGTGCCCAGAGCAGCTGTGGCTGCCCCTGGATCCCTGGCAGTGCCCAAGGCCAGGCTGGACAGGGCTTGGAGCAGCCTGGGATGGTGGAAGGTGTCCCTGCCCATACCAGGGGGTTGGAACAAGAGGGTCTTTAAGGTCCCTTCCAACCCAAAGCATTCTGTGATTCTATGAAAACTGAGGAAGAGAGAATTTACAGTTGTTATCTTTGTGACTGTGGTTTCCTACAAGCTGTGTGTTAAGCATGAGGAGATGGAGTGTTTCTTAATGTTCACTGGAACCAGAGAAAGTTGCTGAACTGTTTGAAAACGGCTACTCTGACTTCTGATCTTGGCTTTCACTCAGTGCTGCTATGAACCTGTTACTGTGTGTCACTTTTCTGAGCATGGCCTACTGAAATTTAAACTTTGCTAGTGGAACAGCTAATAAACTGGAATTTTATGCTTA